GTATGTGGCTATGCTAGCTATAGACCAGTACACTGTTTTTTTCCCATTTTCCCTTAACATACAACAAACTAACAACTAAGGACCTGTGAATCAACATACTAATGAAAAATATGGCACATAATCTTGTTGCATTCCAAGGACTTAAACATAATTTGTACAAGTAATTCATGAAAAGGCTATCCATCACAGATACAACATAATGTTGATTTACAATCCATGCATAAAGTACTTGGACAGGACACAATATATCTCTGATATTGTTCGAATCCTTCATGACAAAGGTTATACAGATATACAAATTATGACAAGTGCAAGGCTGCTGCTATGAGTGGTATAAATATAGATCTGTCATGTATGTTCCCTCGTTGTTCCCATAGCATCTCTTGTACTTCTTTGACGTAGATGGATCATAAAACATGTATGATTCACACGAGTAAGCTTTACTTAACCTTCTCAAGATTTGTAGCATAATCACCTACACCACATATAAAAACAATCTTGTATTAGAAAGAAATGCAGATATTGAAGTTGAATTGAATGTACTTGACAACCTAGAAACGAATATAGTATGTGGTCTTACCTATGATTTAATCTACATATTTTTATAGCTGAACCATCGACAAACTGACAACAAAGCAATCGAATATAGTTAAAAAATACCACGTTCCCATGTATTCCAAAAACAAACGTGAATGTACAAAAAACAAACAAACATGAATGAATATACACATACCTAGTGCACTATTTACATTGGTTGCAGTTATCATAGATATCACCTGTTAAGCATGTTTCGCATCGAAACAAGCTTCAAAACATCAGGTATGCCTATCATCATAATTTGATTACCAAAAAATATCCATTATGTATGAAATCATGAATTGGTTCCCAAAAAATATCCATTGTGGCAGCTTGCAAAAGATATACATCATCATAACTATAAAAAAATCATGTGCTGTCATAATTTTTTTTTTTAAAAAGCAGCAAAAAATGGAAATTGTATTTCATGTAGGTAGTAAAACGGACAACAAATACATACCCGGTTCTCCTTTTAGCTCAAGATTTAGTAGATGCTCAACAAATGGTGTTGAGAAATAGTGTTGTAGACTTTGCTAATGCTCCTTCTTGTGTATATTAATCAAATGACCTGCCACAACAACAATCCACAAAACATACTAACCACTCAGCCCAACACAATAGGATGGCGGAACCAAATGTCAAGTTGTGGAAGGAAAACGACAGTGAAAACATTATTTCAATAGAAATAGACAACGCAAAAAGGACACTGTTTTTATGGATGGTAAACTGAAAAATGAAAATGGAGTTGGTAGAAACAAGGTGGAGGAAAATGAAAACCATGGTAAATCGGATACTAACGTCTGAAACCACTATTAGATCTTTTTCTTCAACCTTCTGCACATTACTTCGACTTGGACCAACTACAGAGGATATTGTACAAAAAAAATCGAAAAATTAGAACAACTCCCATCCTCCAAAACCTTCAAACAAGCTTCATGCATGTAGCCAATATTGCAACACCAGTAAAACTTGTCATGTGGTAAACAAGGTAAAGCTCCAAGCTTGGACGCCAAGAGTAGATCTTCTTCCAAACACAAGCGACCAACAAAAGGACCAACAAGAGTATAAAAGCTATGGTTAGTGTTGTACTATTAACAAGGATATTTTGGTAAACATTTCCGCGCCTCTTCTTCCACATGCTCGAGACGCAAATTTTTCCACATAAACTATGGAAATTATCAGATGAGGGTTGTACTGTTTTTTTCTACCAAAACCAATTTCCTGGAAAGTTTGTGAGTCTGGAATGTTAATAATTGTGAGCTACCAAATGTAGGATTCATTTTAGGACTACCATCGTTTCTCTGGGAACAGAAATATATTTCAGCTACCAAACATGCTTGTTCATCATGCATGTCATTTTCTAATCATCGTAAGGCTTGATGGTTGCTTCCCTAGCTAGTGCATGGGTAACTCCATCCCTCTCCCATAAATACATGACAAAGGAATGTGTGTTGGTTGAACTTCTACATAGCTAATTATTTTAGTGAATTACTTTCTTTTATCTAGAAAAATTTACATGATTGGCCGCTTATACAAATATTTGCATATTCAGTAAATTTCCAGTTGTTTATATTTCTTTTTCCAATATTCCTTGTTTATTGCATCAATTTTTTTTCAAAAAAGAAAATAAAAATATAGCACTAGCTACGAGACTACAACCAATCTTTTTCACAATCAAATATTTAACAAATAGTTGCAGCTCTCATTTGGCACCGCCACACACATTTATTTAGAAATTCGATGAGTAGGTTTCGACTTACACTACTAGAAAAGTCTTTCTTATCGATGAAATTTTTCGACGAAAAAAATTTCCGTTGAAATTATCGACGAAATTTTCCACAGAATCTGTTTTCCGTCCATATTTTCGACGGAAAAAAAATTCCGTCGAAGATTTTCGACGGAAAAAGAAATTCCGTCGAAAAACTCTTGAAAAAATAAAAGAAAAAGAAATTAAATATGGTGAACTTTTCGACGAAATTTCTATTCCGTCGAAGATTATCGACGAAAAATGAATTTCGTCGAAAACTTTTGAAAAAATTAAAAGAAAAATAAATTAAATATTGTGAACTTTTCGACGGAATTTTGATTCCGTCGAAGAATTTCGACGGAAAATCAATTCCGTCGAAAATATTTAAAAAAATAATTGAAAAAGAAAATAAATATTGTGAATTTTTCGACGGAATTTCGATCCCTTCGAAGATTTTCGACGAAAAAGCAATTCTGTCGAAAACTTTTCAAAAAAAGAAATTAAATATGGTGAATTTTTCGACAAAATTTCTATTCCGTCGAAAATTTTTGACGGAAAAATAATTCTGTCGAAAATCTTTAAAAAAATAATTGAAAAAGAAAATAAATATTGTGAATTTTTCGACAGAAAAGCAATTCCGTCAAAAACTTTTGAAAAAAAAGAAATTAAATATGGCGAACTTTTCGACAGAAATTCGATTCCGTCGAAGATTTTTGACGGAAAAGGAATTCCGTCGAAAAACTTTTGAAAAAATAAAAGAAAAAGAAATTAAATATTGTGAATTTTTTGACGGAATTTCGATTCCGTCGAAGATTTTCGACGGAAAAAGAATTCCGTCGAAAATCTTTAAAAAAATATTTGAGAAAGAAAATAAATATTGTGAATTTTTTGACGGAATTTTGATTCCGTCGAAGATGTTCGACGGAAAAGAAATTTCGTCGAAAACTCTTCAAAAAAAGAAAGAAAGAAAAAAGAAATTAAATATGGTGAATTTTACGACGAAATTTCAATTCCGTCGAAGATTTTCGACGGAAAAATAATTCCGTCGAAAATCTTTAAAAAAATAAATGAAAAAGAAAATAAATATTTTGAATTTTTCAACGGAATTTCGATTCCGTCGAAGATTTTCGACGAAAAAAGAATTCCGTCGAAAATATTTAAAAAATAAATGAAAAAGAAAATATGTTTGTGTCTTTTCGACGGTTAGCAAAATCAAATCTATCGAACTAATGACCTGCATTAATGGTTTTTAAATGCAATTTCGTATGTTTGTGTAATTTTTTTTAGAGAGTCAAAAATTCAAATTGTTAGTACATAGGTGTCTTAGAGACAATGTGAGAGTCAGATGGACCTATGTAGGTATATCAGGTTGATCATTCGATTAACTCAGCTAGCTCTAGGACAACGTAACATTGCTAGTGCTCTATGTTGTCATTAGATGGATTGGGCCTAATGGGCTCAAGCCCATTTATGTTAGTGGCTATGTTGGGCCTGATAGATCGCAAAGAAACACCTTAAGTTGTCTTGTATTCTAGCATATATGATTTGGGCCCAATAATGTATCCTAATTAATTTAAATGTTAAATTAACAAAATTAATTTGAATTCTAATTTGAAATTTGTAATTTGAAATTTGAATTTAAAGAATTTGAATTTAATAAAATTATTTTAAATTCTAATTTTGAATCAGATTTATTGAGGATGGAGAAAATAAAAGAAACCAATCAATTAGATGGATTGGAAACAAATCAATTGGATTGATTGACCAAAATTAAGGAAATCATTAAAATAAACACATCATAAAAGAAATTATTTTTGATGGGTACATTAATTGTGATTAGTGATTGATACATTAAATGTGATCAAAATTAATTGTGATAGGTACATAATAAGTACTAGCCATTCAACAATCATCCCGTAACTGTCTCACATCTTAATATGAACTATGTTCTACTGTTCTTAACATGACTATATCACGAGAAGAAATTGTAACCATACAAATTAAGGTAAATTAATGGTGATGAGCGAAAATAGAAAAAAAATATAATGATAGATAATTATAAAATTATTACTATTGATTCACTCTCGTATGATCAGATCCTCGTACATAACATAATCATGTTAATTAATACGTGAAAAGATTCATTCTCTAATATCAACACGAAAGATCTCAATCACATATATTAAAATGATTTTTTCATCTTCTCTAAATTTTCCGCGTATAAATTAATAATTTTTTTAATATGCTATGGTGAAATATAACATGATGTTGTTAAAATTAAATGAGTGAGTATCTTTTCTCACAAAATATAGTTAAGTCTCTTCTGTGATATTTCTTCCTTCTCACCCAATAATTTCCAAAAACTTTTAAATTTTATTCTTATTTTTTATTTAAAATAATTTAATAAACCCTTATTTTCATCCTTCAAAAATAAAATAATTATTTCAATGTTGAAATAATTTTTGTCAAATCAATTTAATTAAAAAATATGTGTTTATTACAGTCGATGTATTTTCATTTTTAATCATTCTTTCTTTGTATCCGAGTGGACAACTTTCCAATAGGATACATTCTTGTCACAAAGCTAACGTGGCAAAATCTCATTGGATAATCATACATCATATTTTTAAATTTTATAAATTGACACTCATTTTAATATTAACGTAAAAAAACATGGAAATTCACGAAGACAAAACCTCGAAACCTCGAACCGGAGCTACCCAAGTTGCTACCATCGGACGTTAGTTTCTTCATTACATTCCAACTAGGAAACTGAGACCATCAGACTCCAAAATCGGTACCCAATTATAATCCTAATATAAAGTTTTCGTTTTTGTTTTCAATTTTGCATTTTCTCTAACACCATGGATCGTGTGCATCTTCATCTCTTTCTTAGTTAGGTTTGAGTTATTGGGCCTTAACACAATCATATAATATCTTTTTTGCTAACTCGAATTTCAATGTCTACATTAAATAATCGTTTATTTTCTTGCTTCACCTTTGATTTCTAAGCCCAATTAGTGAATGCGTAGTTTGGAATCTTTTCTGCTCGATTTACAATTTATATTTTGTTATTTAAGGGTTGTTTATACTTCTTTTTTGGGGGGTTGGGGTGTTCATGTTATATTCAAAATCCAAATGCATCTGTAAGGCTGATAATAGGTGTATATTATGGGTTTGGAGTTGTTTTGTATGTGGCTCTTCACATGTTGATTCAATGATTGTTTTGCTGTTTTTGTAGAGCAAAATGATGAGGCTGCAGACATATGCTGGTCTTAGTTTGATTGCAACTCTGGCTGTTACATATCATGCATTTAGCAGTAGAGGCCAGTTTTATCCAGCAATGGTTTATTTGGCAACTTCCAAGATCAGTTTGGTGCTTCTTCTCAACATGGGTCTAGTCATCATGTGTGTTCTCTGGCAGTTAACCAAAAAGGTTTTCCTTGGTTCCCTTCGTGAGGCTGAGGTCGAGAGGCTTAATGAGCAGTCATGGAGAGAGGTTATGGAAATCCTCTTTGCCATTACTATCTTTAGGCAGGACTTCTCTGTTACATTCCTTGTCATGGTCACGGCACTCTTGTTAATTAAGGCTTTGCATTGGTTGGCTCAGAAGAGAGTCGAGTACATAGAGACTACTCCTTCTGTGCCCATGTTGTCTCACATTCGAATTGTATCTTTTATGGGTTTCCTTCTTCTTCTAGATGGCCTCTTTTTGTATAGTTCTGCAAAGCATTTGATACTATCACGGCAGGCTTCGGTTTCACTCTTCTTTTCCTTTGAGTAAGCCCTCTTCTTTAATGATTTGCGACATGGTTAATTCATGTAAATTTACTATGTAACTATGAAAAGTTCTGTTGCAGAATTTTTGGTTAGATGAGAATACTTCACTTTTTACTCTTTTATGCAAAAAACTGAACTTATAAATTGTTTCATATATATATCTGCTGGTTGATGCTTTCTGTGGAATCCGAAAGTTAACATTTCTGTTAATTCAGAATATTACATTTTATAATTTTTTAGGGGTGTGGTTTTGAGATTATTTAGCCTCAGGTGTTGTTTTGACATAATATCTGTTTCGATCTCAGGTACATGATACTGGCAACAACAACTGTGTCAATTTTTGTAAAATATATTTTCTATGTCAGTGACATGCTTATGGAGGGACAATGGGAAAGGAAACCAGTCTTCACGTTTTACCTGGAACTTGTTAGGGACTTGCTTCACTTGTCTATGTATCTGTGCTTCTTTCTTGTAATTTTCATGTAAGTGATCAGTTATTTATGTTCGCTATCTTGCATGGTGGTTTATACTGCGTGGCAGCATATGCACTAAAGAAGTCATAGTATATGTTTGTATGGGTGTCATTAATACTTATGCGTTTAGCCATTGACTGCACTCTGAATCAGATTGTTGTCATCATTGACAATGATACTTATAGTATTAGTTATATTAACACACACATTTGAATGTACAATCGTCAGTATGTTTGTGTCCAAATTTACATGTTTCTAGTTGCACTACTACCTTGAAAGGCTCATCCTGAATTATTTCCTAGTATGCTTGCTTTGTATTGAGCATTGACAACATGTAACCACATATGACAGGATTGGAATCTCCTTAGTCCTTACAGTGGTTTTTTGGAGGACCTGGACAAATTAAATTATTAAATGTCAGAATTGAAAATGAACATATTGTATTTTAAAGATTGACTTTTGGTTCAAATTTGAAAGGGTTTCACTTTGAAGGTAAATCGATGGTTGTGTTTTGAGAAACTACTGGCATGATTTTCTGGGTGGCAAGAATCATTTGAGATTTTAAATCATTCCTAATTGTTATTTTAAAGTATTTGGATATGAAAAACATGTAAGATTTAGTGTTATTCATGGCTAATAGGAATGAAATCCTTGAAGATAGCAACAAAGAAAATTAGTTAAGGCTTGTTCAGTCTGTAGGTGCTTTGAACATAGTTGGTTGATTATGATATTTTAAACACTTGTTTAATTTATTGGAAATGGTACTTGGCTTTTGTACTGTACTTTAAGCTCAGAGATTGTCAACATCATAAAGTTGTTGCTTCTTTCAGTAATTTTTCTTATTTTGAGATGTAAGTGATTTTTTTTTTTTTAAATTGATTTGATTATATGGTTAACCTTCAAGGGTTGTCTTCTTTACCTACTAACTTTAAGTTGATTTATCAGAAACTATGGCGTTCCTTTACACTTAATAAGGGAGCTGTACGAGACATTTAGGAACTTCAAAGTTCGTGTTGCGGATTACATACGTTATCGTAAGATTACTTCAAATATGAATGATCGGTTTCCAGATGCAACCCCTGAAGAGCTTAATGCGTGAGTTCTAAACTTGGTATAGCATCTATGCTTATTATTTTCACATGTATGCATATGCAATAATATTTTTAGAAATGGCTTTGCAGAAGTGATGCAACCTGCATTATCTGTCGTGAAGAGATGACCACTGCCAAGAAACTTATATGCGGGCATCTCTTTCATGTTCATTGCCTCCGATCATGGTTGGAGCGGCAGCATACTTGCCCTACCTGCAGAGCACTGGTTGCACCGCCAGAAAATGGAACAACTGTTACTGGAGGGCAGCAAGGATCACAGTCAGATGCTCATCGACATGGTAATCATATGATAAACAAATACTATTGGGGAACAATATTCATAAACATCAAAAACATGCTAGTAATGAACAGAATGTCAGAATATTTCCTGGGGTACAGTGCTTTGGAATCAAAAATTTGAAAATATTTGATAAAAAAAAAGTGAAAATATGATCCTGACAAATAATTGCCCTTGGGATATGCACCTTCCAAACAATTACCTAATATTCACTTTTTAAATCGTCTTAATTTTACCCCAAAAAAAATCAAAAGCTCTTTGTGATACAGTTACAGGAAATTCTCTTTCATTTTCTTTTGTTTTTAATGTGAAGCTCATAAGAATACTATTATTATATGTAACTAGATATATTACTTAACTTTTCAAACCTTGATTTCTTTTAATTTTGGGCCATTATGGTGAGTGTTGAGTCCAACACAGTTATAACTTATACTGTTTAAAATATTTTAATCCATAAGGATTATATAAGTATTGCTTACCTTGTCATTTCAAACAGTGTGGCTTTGCGCATATTTTGTATTCAATGTGATATTTGAAATTGATTGTTTTAACCTGGAATTCCACCTAATGGGATAGGGCTTGGTTATTCTTCTTGTTGTATTTTAACCTAGAGAATGGAACAGGGACAGGCAGTGGAAGCACTGCTCAAGCTGAGGTTGGGACTGGGGTGGCGGCTGATAATTTGAGTCGGCATCAAGCAAGACTCCAAGCTGCTGCTGCAGCAGCTTCAATATATGAGAAGTCTTATGTTTACCCCTCCACAACTTCTTTAGTATGGTATGGCATTTCTCCTAGGACAATATCCCTCTTTTTCCTCAGTTTCTTAAGAAATCGGTTGCATGCATCTTTCTCATCTTCTGAAAAGGAAATAAGTACATAAAAAATGGATTATACTGAACTTAAAATGAGATAGTAAAGGTAGAATATAATTATACAATAAAAGTATGATTATTTCAAAATTCGTAAATTGATATTGTAGAGGCATTCTCTCTTCCCTTGAAAACAAATAAGAAAATTTAGAAGTTCTTTGTCCTTAATCTTTATACCTGCTTGGGGAAGTACCTTTTCCTTGCCCAACAATGGAAAACCGGGAGCTTTTTATAGAGCTTTTAGTGAGAGAAAACAGAAAGTAAAAGAAAAGAGAAAACGCGGCCCGGGGGGGATAGAAAGATAGCGCAGTTCCTCTTAGAACAATTGATGGATTTTACGACCTGAATTTTTTAAGTTAGAGGATATGTTTCTCAGCTGGGAAGTGTTTAGTTTCATTCAATTATTGTTCTTAGAATTATGATGTTTCCTTCCCTCTTTAAATCTGAAATTTTGAGAAGAAACTAGCTCTACTTTTCTTCTATTTGTATAAAGAATTTATGAACTGAACCAAAAGTCTGTATATTTGTAAAGATGGTACAAGAGCTATTCCTTGAATCTAAGACAAAGGTCTAATTTCTCAAACATACAGCTCCCCTGGATACACTCCTCATCCCCCGGTTGAAAGATCTTTGGCTGGATCGTCAAGTACTGAGCTTAATGGAGACCAAACTTCCAATGAGCAAGCACAAAAGCAATTTGTTATCCCTGGTGGACCAATGAATGTATCCTTTCCTCCAATGGGAAACTTCTATTTTCTGCCTTCTCAAACAAATGCACCCCATATGAATTATGGAGAGGGGTCTGGAAATGATCCAAATATGCCAAACTCTCAGCTGGAAACTCAAAGAAAACTCCAGATTGAGGTACAACTGCACCCCCTTTTTCTTCATCAATTGCAACTTGCTTATCATGAGTTACTTCACAATTAGGTTTTTATAAGCATGTGTCATATGGGATGAACTCGTATACAAATTGGTATTTAACTTACTTTTTGGATCTCTGAGTCTTGTATTTTAAATTTTATGTACACTGTACGTTACTATTGTTGAAGTACAGGGGTTTGATCAAATCACTTACTCTTAAATTGGAGAAGCCAAGATCAACTTTATGTTACTAACATTGTTTGTCCTTAATGTAAATTTTTTTTAACTAGTTTACATATAATCAATGTGTGCCTAGAATGTTCTCTTTCTCAGCGTAATTAAATTTTTCGTCTTACATTGAATCAGTTTCTGCAAAATCAACTCCAACTGCTGCAAAATCAGCTTCAGCTTCTTCAGAAGACAAATGTTGACAAAAGTGTAGATGAGGGCACATCATCATCGTCATCAGACAGCAGAGGCAAGCACATCGCTGCCTCTTCATCTGTATCCAATCATGGCAGTCATGAGGAGATTCAAGACAGCAAACCATGATTTCTTTGCTTATATCTGTGGCTATACCATGAGGATACAGCAGAATGTAGATATAGGAAAAGTGAAAATGCAGAAATCACAGCATTGCTTTTTTTGCTTCCATGTGACATCAATTTGAATGCTGTATTCTGCTCGTTGATGTTATTTATCTTGGGAATGCATAGTGCCTTTGATAATTTATTTTTGCTTTATCGAATATCTCTTGATCCTTTGCATGTCTTAACCCTTGAGATTGTATATAATAAAAATCATTAGGCATCAATTTTTTTTTTAATCATAAAAACGATTAGCAAGTTGTGCTATGATGTGTTGTGCAGTGTAAATCTCGTTTATCACAAACGTCGGATAACTATTTTTTTTTTTGAGATATTCTAATCGGTTTATTGTTTTGTGATTATTCCGATTCGGGCGGGTCCCAGCTTCATCTGTTCAATTTTCTGACGCCAATTGAGCTATTATTATTTGGTAACCTCGTATAGCGCGTTAGTTTGCTTATATATGACATTTTTTTGTTCTTTCCTCTATTTGCTCATGAATGTAACAAAAGACCAAAGAAATTTGTCATATTACTAGAAATTTGCTCATTAAAGTTATTCACTCCACTAATTGAGATTAAAAAGAAAAATATCAATTATGAAACGTTATTCACGTATTGCTCATTAAAGTTATTCACTCCACTAATTGAAATTAAAAAGAAAAATATCAATTATGAAACGTTATTCACGTATGTGAGCCTGCACGCACCAATTGAATTGAAAACCAAAAAATCTCACCAGTCATCTCTCTTTTCTGTAATGAATTATAAATATAAACACAGCAGCCATAACGGACCACTCGTCTCGACTTGTGTTTAGTATTTATATAAAGGGTTCGTTTTTTCGGTAATTACTGCAGATAACTTATCTGCAGTAAGTCAATACGACATCGTTTTGGGCAGAAATCATGGTGTTTTTGTAATTTTAATTTATTTCAGAGTTATAATAGTCTTTATATTTATAATTTTTTAAAATTTCAATACCAAAACGATGTCATTTTGAAAATAAATACAGATAACTTATCTGCGTTAACTCCAGAAACATTTTTCCCTTATATAAAATAATACAATATATTCAGTAGTGAGTAGTTACATTCCCAATTACAGAAGTGGACATATGACAAATAGATGTGTGCTTTTAGGGACGTCACCACAACTTGGGTAAAATGCAGTCACCTTTGTGCTCCAACAATCAACATTAATCCCTGTTTAATTAACCGCAGCCGTTCCAATTATTTAACGAAAAAAACGTTTTTTTAAAATGAATTTATCCTTACAGAAAATATCAAATATATATACATACATATATTATATATACTTATTTATTTAATAAATTAAGAATTTAAGATGTCAATATATTTTAGATAAAATTAATAGTAAATATATTTTTTATATTTTAATTATTTTACGTAGTGAATGATTGTATGGTAAGTAAAACAGTAAAGAAAAAGTAAAGTGGTCTACTTAGTCGTGCCACCAAACTCTTGTGGAGATGAGTCACAGAGACTATCTATGAGACAATATTGGTCAAAGCACGTTGTGATGTTGAGCTACCACCCTAAATAATAATATCCTATATTAATGCATTTCCCCTACCCCTTTTGCATGCATATAAAATCCCCTCATACATAACAAGTTTGCAGCATCACCCCCTCTTCTATCTTCTCCTACTACTTTACAATCTCAATATATTTTTGCTGAGAGAAGAAAGAAAGAAAGATGGTGAATGTTGATGAGATTCGCAAGGCTCAAAGGGCAGAAGGACCTGCCACCATCATGGCCATTGGCACTGCAACTCCATCAAACTGTGTTGATCAGAGCACTTACCCTGATTACTACTTCAGAATCACTAACAGCGAGCATAAGACTGAGCTCAAAGAGAAATTCAAACGCATGTGTATGTACTCTTTTCTAAACATTAATTGTCCTTTTCTTTTTTATTATTTTTTGAGAAATGAACTGGCAAATATTTCCAATTTTTTAGGTTTATATTAAGATTCATGTGTACGAGATAACTTACAGAAATATATATAAGTAAAACTACCATTTGTGGAATCGATTACTGTTCTTATATTTTTGGATCATAAAGTTATACCAAAATCCATAGGCAATGTATAGAAGTTATAGCAACTCAATATTTTTATTATTTTATTTTAATCTTGTAAAAATGTTCAAGTTATATGTTTTCCGCATTTTGGAATAATAAAATATACAATACTACAACTAGGTTGTCTAATTAAATGGAAATGTCACAAACAGTTATTTCATAGATTTCGAAAAATGTGTTGATGTTTGAGAAAAGAAAAATTAAGATAACAGAGAAAGATAAAATTAAACAAATATTGAAGATCAAGTCTGTGTAAGATTTTTAACAAAAAAAAAAACTGTGTATTTAGCTTCAATTGAATAAAATCACCCCCTAAATTATTCAGAAATACATGTCAAAAAGTGTCTTCTATGAATTGCTAAAAATAAGTTCTGCTTATGAATTATAAAGATAAAATACGTACAAAGTTAACTTACAAAACTAACAGTTATATATTGGACTAATCCTGGTGTTAACTTCTGTTTTTTCAGGTGAAAAGTCTACGATTAAGAAGCGATACATGCATTTAACAGAGGAGATCTTAAAAGAGAACCCTAATCTTTGTGCTTATATGGCACCTTCCCTAGATGCTAGGCAAGACATGGTGGTGGTGGAGGTACCAAAATTAGGAAAAGAGGCTGCAACCAAGGCCATAAAAGAATGGGGCCAGCCAAAATCCAAGATTACACACTTAATCTTTTGCACCACAAGTGGTGTGGACATGCCTGGTGCTGATTACCAACTAACAAAACTCTTAGGACTTCGTCCATATGTGAAGAGGTACATGATGTACCAACAAGGTTGTTTTGCTGGTAGCACGGTTCTTCGTTTGGCCAAAGACTTAGCTGAAAACAACAAAGGTGCACGTGTGTTAGTTGTTTGCTCAGAAATCACTGCAGTCACATTCCGTGGCCCAAGTGATACACACTTAGATAGCCTTGTGGGACAAGCATTGTTTGGAGATGGAGCAGCTGCACTTATTGTTGGTTCAGACCCAATTCAAGAGATTGAGAAGCCTTTGTTTGAATTAGTATGGACTGCACAAACAATCCTTCCAGATAGTGAAGGTGCTATTGATGGACACCTTCGTGAAGTTGGGTTAACATTTCATCTCCTTAAGGATGTTCCAGGCCTCATTTCAAAGAACATTGAGAAAGCTTTGGTTGAAGCCTTTGAACCATTGGGAATCTCTGATTACAACTCAATCTTTTGGGTTGCACACCCTGGTGGACCAGCAATTCTAGACCAAGTTGAACTTAAGCTGGGGTTGAAACCTGAGAAGATGAGGGCCACTAGACATGTGCTTAGTGAATATGGTAACATGTCAAGTGCTTGTGTGTTGTTTATATTGGATGAGATGAGGAAGAAATCATCTCAAGATGGGCTTAAAACCACTGGTGAAGGGCTTGAATGGGGTGTGCTTTTTGGCTTTGGACCTGGTCTCACTGTTGAAACTGTTGTTCTTCGTAGTGTGGCTGCATAAAGATGCACTATTATTACTTTTTTTTTGATATTATGTATTAGTGTTCTTATTTCATTTTTTTTATTTGTTTATGTTTTAGAATGAGTATGTGGCTAATAGCCTTTTAAACTATTTAATCGTTTGATATAATTTTTCTTTTGTAATAAAGATTTATTTTTCACCATATAAATGATTTTTGTAACTTGTTTATTTTTTTTATTATAATTAGGCAGTGAATATTTTTAAACAATGCGCAATTAACAAACCGATATTTTTAAGAGTTAGTGATTCTTATGTTGTAAGAGATAAATTTATTTTCTACATATATAAAAGTATATGGAGTTCATATTTTTTTTTCTCTCTTTTCTCCTCACATGGACCTATGTAACTTTTATATATATACATATAAGATAAATTTATCTCCTACAACATAAGAAATATTAAATTATATTTTTAATTGGAAAAAACAAATTTAGTATTTACCGATAACTTTAGAATTTGATTCTTATCGAGGAGTAGGACAGATTCCAAATCATAAAATTCCTGATATTGGTTTCACATATAAAAATATGTAAAATGACTCGATCGTGGGATGAAGAAAAAAAAAAAAAACATCTTTTAAGAGGAATTTTATTACAACAATGTCAGATTACGATTCACTGTCTGTCTGCCACTTGAATTAGAATTTGCTTTTTAGAAGTGAAATTTTCTTTTAAACTAAAGCATATTATCCCATTTAATTAAAAATAAATCATTGAAATTTAAGAATAAATACTCTTTTACTTAATTACGTTAAAAATAATTTTGCTCTAACTTTTTTTTCTATGAATTAGTTCAGTTCCACTCAAAAAACAAAGGAGAGATTCAAAATCAAGTGCAAAACAGTCTCATATATATTTGTTAAAGTAAAGATTAAAGGCTCAATGCTGACATATAGAAGATGTTGATTAAAAAATAAAACTACTCCTTTCCAAAACCAAATTGATAAAAGATAGAGAGAGAAAAATAATAAACAAATCCAAAAATATTAAAACTCATTGTTATTCTTTCATTTTTTTTCATTAAAAATAAAGTACACTAACTCAAAGAAATTTTTTAAATAAGACATTTGACCCTTTCCTTTGCAAACCACAAACGGTTTTTATATCATCTTGTATAGGCTCTTGAGTTTTGGATGTCATTGACAATAATTTACCATCAACGAAGGACCTTTTTTTGCTCGCATATGAATATGTAATCTTAGTTTTAGTGTATATTCTTTTATTTTGTGAACAAGGATCATAAACGTTTTAATAAGTGTGACGTATTCATAAGATAACGATCAAAGTTTAAATAACAAAGGGCCACCACCTCATCAAACTCATAATGTCAGCGCCATGAAAAAACCACTAGCAGTATGTCTGGAATTACATGTTTTAGCAATTGATTTTTTATTTTTTTTTGGTAAGCAGCAATTGATTTAATTAAAATATATTTTATTTTAATCAAATAAAGGTTATAATATACTCAATTTGATTAGAATTGAGTAGATTTAATTTTATTTCAGTGTCAATTGTTCAAATTGACATTTTTATTCTTATTAATTAAGTCATTTAACTTATTTAACTTAAATAAGTTAAATTGCCATTTAACTTATTTAAGTAATGACAGTGGAGTAAATTATTAATATAATTTTTTTTATAAAATTCATCTGTAGTCTGTTCCAAACATAAAATTCAATTCAGAAGTATTTAAACAAAAGAAAAAAAATTCAATTCAGAAGTGATCTTAAATCTCATTTTTAATATTGAAAATATAAATAAGGTAACTCGAATCTCTTATTCAACTTCCACATCAATCCAGGAATCATTATAACATATATATGATATTCGAGGATTCATCTTGTTGGTGCATAGACTTGTCTGGAAGTTGAGTGCATTGTAAAGTGGTGATGCTAAATTAAATGCCAACTTACACATTGTTATTTCAGTATGTATCAACTTACACATTTTAATTAATAATATTAAGTATAATATTAAGGGAAATGATATTGTGACAACTAAGTTGTGTTATATTTGTTACTAACAAGTGACTACCAATCAATCTCACCGTTAGATCGATTATGTGGATCCAACGATTATATTTATTTCTATCTTTGTATGGTCATGATTCCCTATATTTAAAGTGAAAGCATTAAATATGAAAAATTATAACCATACAAAAGTGAAAATAAATATAAAGTATTAAATCTGGGAAATTATGACCATAAAATAAATATAACCATTGGATCAATATAATCGATCTAACGATAAAATTGATTGATAGTCACTTGGTAGTAACATAACTTGATGGTCACACTATCCTTCCCTTAATATTAATATCGCAAAAAAAAATTGGTAAACTAAGGGCAAAATAGTGGAATAATATTCTGCCCTAACCTAAGTGCCTTATATTATGCTCCGCGTCACACCTAAGTCACGCACGCTACTCGCCTCACATTCTCATTTCTCACTTCCACTACTCTCACGGTGGTTTTGGCGGCGGAGCTCCGGCGAACGGAATTATAATTGGTGATAGGTTAAAATGACGGAGGATCGGAAAGGTCCGAAGCTTCCCGTGGATGGGAAGCGCAACATCCTCATCACGAGTGCCTTACCTTACGTCAACAACGTCCCTCATCTTGGCAACATCATTGGAAGTCAGTTCCCTGTGCATTCTTTCATCACTTGAAATTGAATTTGATTCATTTCTTTGATTGAAATCTATGATTCATTTCTGTATCAGCATCATGAATCTAGCTTGTGTACGTGGCTCTGTTAGTTTAATTTTGATTTTGATTTTGATTAGGTGTGTTGAGTGCTGATGTTTTTGCTCGGTACTGTCGTCTTCGCGGTTATAATGCTATTTACATGTGCGGTACTGATGAGTATGGGACAGCAACAGAGACCAAAGCCATGGAAGAGAATTGCTCTCCCAAAGAGATTTGTGACAAGTATTTCTTTGCTCTTTAAGATTTTGACTTAATCCAAGTTACATATGTTTGCTCGCTTACTTACTATAAGTTATCATGTTCACTATTTATGTGGTGAGGTTTAATGGCTTAGCTTATTGGCAATTTTGTTTCACTAGCCCAAACTTATACTAGTCAAAGGCTACAAGGATTTTTGCATGTCTGTATTTCATGATGTGTAGGTTATTATGTATACATAACATTGATGTGGACTAGAGTTGTTAATCTGTGGTATTTATGTTCTTATAATTTTTTTTTTTAATCAAAGCATTTGACACTTGTATAACACTCGCTCATTCCTTAAGCGAATTTTTAATAATATTTTCTTCTCTCTGTGTATTTGTAGATATCATGCTATTCATAAGGAGGTCTACGATTGGTTCAATATAAGTTTTGATGAATTTGGGCGGACCTCATCCCCTCAGCAAACTGAAGTTTGCCAAGCAATTTTTAAAAAAATATTTGATAACAACTGGATCTCCGAGAACACATTGCAGCAGGTGTTGAGTTGTCTTTTGTTGCTTTGGCTAAAGTGTATTTATTTAATTGTTTTATTGGTTTTTTTGGCATTATTCCTCCCTCCTATTTGGTTGAAAATTGAAGGGTTGTTTCCTGATGTCAAGAATTTTCAAGGATGTGTTTACTACCCTTTGCTTTACTTAAATGCCTATCATATTTCAGCTTTACTGCGATACATGTCAAAGGTTCTTAGCTGATCGGCTAGTGGAGGGTACTTGCCCAACTCCGGGGTGTGAGTATGATTCTGCTCGGGGAGATCAGTGCGAGAAATGTGGAAAGCTTCTGAATCCAACTGAATTGAAAAATCCCCGGTGCAAGGTATTAAACCCCCCTCCTTTTTTTCTCTCTCTCTTCTTAACTGTCATTTTAGAGGAGGCAACCTGGAACAGTAGTAAAACTTTTCTTTCATGACTGAAAGGTCATTGGTTCGAATCTAGGAAACAGCCTCTTCGCAATTATGCAAGGGTAAGGTTGCATACAAGAATTGCCTCCACCCCACACTCGCTGTTCGGGTTTAACGGGGAGTGGTTTTTTTTATTGGTTTATTTAACTGTCATTTTAGGTTTTGCTAATTGATCAACTTGGTTTCATTCCAATTAGTGGAAGCATTTGTGTGCCATATGTTTGATTATCCTGGATGATCATCTTACTTAATTGAAGATGATCATCTTACTTAATTGAAGATGATCATTTAGGTTTCATTGCCCCTATTCCATAAATTTTTTTTTTCCATTTGCATTCAGTGTCCATCTTTGGTTCTTCTTTCAGATACTTTTTGTTTTAATCACGGTTTCTGAAGCTTGTTGATTTACTTGTCATTTTCTAGTACAATTTTATATTTGTTGGGGTAGATGAAAGTCAAGAGAGTTTTTAAGGTGTGATTTTTTGACATCTGTAACAGGTTTGTCAAAAATCTCCTCGTATTCGAGATACGGACCACTTGTTTCTTGAACTCCCCCTATTGAAAGATAGATTGGAAAAATACATCAATGAGATGTCTGTGGTGGGATCATGGAGTCAGAATGCTATTCAAACAACAAATGCATGGCTTAAAGAAGGATTAAAGCCACGTTGTATTACCAGGGATCTGAAGTGGGGGGTTCCTGTTCCACATGAAAAATACAGTGACAAGGTTAGTTTTTCTATTTGTTCTTTTCAAAAAAAGTTTTTTTCATTCATCAATTTTATAAATTTTATTCTTAAAATTGGAAGGTTTTCTATGTTTGGTTTGATGCGCCTATTGGATATGTCTCAATCACTTCATGCTACACACCTGATTGGGAGAAATGGTGGAAAAACCCAGAGAATGTGGAGTTGTATCAGTTTATGGGCAAGGACAATGTGCCGTTCCATACTGTAAGTTATTGTTTTTGTAGAATTTGAGGATTTTATATGCCATTATATGCTCTTATATTTACTTGGGATTATGCATGTCAATATCTTATTTTCTATCATTTCCCCTCACTGATCAATGATTCCCCAGCTGAGTTAATGGTTTCATCTATTAATTTCA